TCCACAAAAAACAATCCATCTGATTTGTGATAATGGTCGCTCTAATAAAAACAAAGCTTTAAATGAGTATCTTAAATCTTCCAGAGTTGTAATTCACTATTTGCCACCATACTCTCCTAATCTTAACCCTATTGAACGACTTTGGAAGATTATGCGGGAGCATGTTACCTACAATAAAGTATATTCTAGCTTCTCAATGTTTACTGAAGCTGTTCGCCAATTTTTTGCCAAAACTGTATTTGATATTGAGGTTACACTACGTAGTAGAATCAATGATAATTTCCAAGTTATAAAACACAATCCAGTACAGCTTTCAAGTTAATTGATTATATACTCAATCAACTTGAAAGTTGGACTGGGTTGTGACGGATAACTTCAAAGTTATCATTTATTCTGGCACGCAATACATCTTGAATACGGTGCACTGTATCCCCAAAGAAGTAACGAATTGCTTCAGTAAAATCAGCAAATTTAGGATATACCTTATTATACGTGACATGCTCTCGCATTACTTTCCAGAGTCGCTCTATCGGGTTTAAATTAGGCGAATATGGTGGCAAATAGTGAATTAGAACTCTGGCGTTTTCAAGGTATTTCGTCAATTGTTTATTCTTATTGGAGCGTCCATTATCGCAGATTAAGTGAATTGATTTATCTGGATATGTGCTTTCAAGGTCAGTGCAGAATGAAATAATAGATTGAGCATCAATCGTTGGGTATTCACGCGTGACAATCTGCATACTGCTCAAGTCAATAGCACCATTTAGATGTAATCGATATTGAGTATTGGTTGCTGCTAGCGTTTTAGTTTCGCCTTTTGGCATCCAACCACAGACTGCTTGTGATTGATATTCAGGATGTACTGCATCCATGAACATAATAATATCATTGGCAGAAGCACCTGCTACTAAGCTTTGATAGTGTTCAATGAACTGCTGTTGCTTTTCTTCATCCAACTTACCTGGTATTAACTTGGGAGCTTTGTAAACAAAATCATTGCGCTCTAACCATTTGGTTATTCCTGAAACAGTATACTTTATTTTATACTTGCCAAAAACATATTGGCAGATGGTTTTAGCTGTTAGATACGTGGTAGTACTCAAGTGGCGAATTAGCTCAATTTCTTGGCTAACTTTTAGCTTACTTTCTGAGCCGCCACGAGGACTATGGGATACTTTATTTTGCTTTAGGTAGTCATTTATATAATTGTATGTAGTTGAGTCGCTAATTTTTAAGATATCAGCAATATCACAGACATCGTGACCATCGTCGTAAGCCAAAATAGCCCTTAGACGATCTTTCTCATCAATGTTTCTAGTGATGCGAACCAACTTTTCAAATTCGGCGCGCTTACCTGAAGTAAGTATTTTTTGCATAGCATCAATTATAAAACAAGTTAGGTGGGAAATTACAACTTTCAGTTACGAAGAGTATATAGTTAACCTATAAACAATTGAGCGATTGATTGTTCAATAGCCAAACTTAAATTATCCTGACGATTATCATTAGTTCGAATGAAACGCTTTAAATTAGCCCATACATGTTCAATCGGGTTCAAATCGGGTGAATATGGGGGTAAATACATTAACTTACATCCAGCTTGTTCAATTAACTCTTTAACTCTGGCTGACTTATGGAAACTGGCATTATCCATAATTACAACTTGATTTGGCTTTAACTCCTTACATAGAGCAAGTTCAACCCACGCCAAAAATACCTCACCATTAGTATAGCCATCATACTCCATTGGTGCAATAAGCTCTTTACTACCATAGCAATAACCACCAATTAAGGTTATACGTTTGCTTCTAAATCCTAATGCTTCGGTAAATGCTTTTACGCCTCTTTTGGCCCAGCCACGTAATGGAGACATGTTGTTGTCCACACCTGTTTCATCAATATAGACGAGATACTCAGGCAGGATATTTTTAATTTGCTCTGTGAATGATGCCCTTTTCTGCTCACAACGTTGTTTATAATTTACCTCTTTTTTTATATGTTATTTCCATTCGATGAAGTGTATTATAAAAACAACTTTGCGAAACATGAGGTGCTAATTTATTACGTAGCTCTATACCGTCAGCATCGGGATGCTCTTCTAAGTAATCCAATACTGCTTGCTTGTCGGTAAATATGCTATGTCTGCCTTCTTTTGCTGGTTTTATTATCAAACAACTTCCTGTTTCGTCATATCTATCACACCATCTGCGAATTGTGGCATAGCCTAAAGAAAGCAATTTAGCTAACTCTTTTTTATTGTAATTACCTGTTTTATACAAAGTCATTGCTTTATCGCGAAGATCTTGAGAATATCCGTACATATTGTTATCAATCAAAATTAGTAGACACATAGTTTAACATATTATGCTCAGTAAATTATAGGATAACTATATTTGCTAATAAGCCTAAAATCACTTTAAATAATTTAATA